TCAATAGGAGAGAAATTGCTAAGTATAAGTATGAATCATGAGAAAATCAATGCCAAGAATTCAAGACCCGATCCATACGCACGCACAGTGACCTCAATAGAGATAAACATACATGAAAGCAGCCCATACAGCGACAAGACAGCAGAAACACAGATAAACCCGAATACCACAGACACAATAAAGAAAACACCCATAAAAAAATTAGACAAGAGGACGAGGAAAAAGTGTGGGAGAGAGAGGTTCACAAACGACACACAAGACCCACAAAATCACAAACCCAACAACCACTAGAACCAAATAGAACAAAAAACAATGAAAATAAAAGAGGGTAAAACTTACCAAGGAGCAAATCGGTGGGTAGGATGATGGATGTGAGGGAAAAACGACCACAATGCAGCCACAAAACAAACCCTAGATCAAGAAAAAGAAACAGGGAAAAAAAACTAACTTGAAAAGTCGAGAGAGGGAGTTAAGTATGAAACTGGTCTGCTCGAGCGTACTAATAACCGCTCGAGCGTACCACAAAGCAAGCAGACTCCCGCGCGAGCGTGCAAAGGGACGCTCGAGCTAAAAAAAACAACTCTCAGAACTACCAAAACACGAACAAACTGCTGCAAGAGTGAAAAACGCGCTCGAGCGTAAAACATTCCGCTCGAGCGGAAAGAACCCCCCCCCTTGTTTTGCTGGCAGAACTGGTCTCTCAGCTTCTCCCTAACTGCTGGAGATAAAAACTTCTCCTGGAAAGCATTCACAAAAGCCTCCCATGTACCTCCTATACGACCCTTAGTGAACTTCCACCACTGACCAAGAAAATCTATCAAATTATGAGTCCTGCAAATTTTTAGAAAAGAGATGAAACACCAGCTCATGAACAACACAGATAGTATGAAATCAAAGCCACACGCATCATGAGAATGCATTACTCAAAAACACATATGAGAGCTCATGTAAAAATGTGTGTGTGTGCAATCCTTGAGAGCCACAAAGCTAGAGTTAATCCTAGTTGTGATCGGATGGCTGGACCTCCGACACGAGTAACTGACTATCACAGAGAAAAGTCAAACCACTAGGAATCACGAGGTATTTGTTAAGTAAATGCGGAAGCTCCCCCTCAGATTTTTATTTATTTTTTTATTTTTTTATTTTTTTTGTGTGCACTCACTGGTGGCATGCACGCTCAAGAGTATAGATTCCAACCAGAGAAGAATGAAGTCAAAATGATGGCCTGGTTGGTGCCTCTGAGGTAGCCTTTTCCTAATGCCCGGAGATCATGTCCTGAGGGAGAAACCATGGAAGTGAACTAAGGCGGTAGATGGTTAAGAGACTTAACATCACCCATGATGTACTAGTATGGGTCAATTTCTCCGTAAAAGTACAAGAAACACTGTCAGTGGTCCATAGAGAACTTTGATCACTTATGCGGAAACCCCTGCAACAGTTTAGCTCAAGAATGTGTACAGAATGAGATCACGAAGTAAATGAGTATGGGCATTCAGCATGAGCTATGAACTAAGATGTGAAACAAATCTTGTAAGAAACATGAGCAGTGTTCATTTAATATTTTGATGCAAAAGATACCAGGACTCAATCACAATGAGATTAACACATCTAAGAATAGTAAGTCAGCCACTCACACTCACCTCACGACCACAGGAACCAATCTAGTTACTGAGCATTACACCTAAGGTCTTTCTAAGAAACTCAAATCGAAGAAGATCAAGGGGTTTTGTAAAAATATCAGCTTTTTGATGCTCAGTAGGGATATGTTCCAAAACAACAATGCCTTCATCCACTAACTCTCGAATAAGATGATGACGGATGTCAATATGTTTGGTGCGAGAGTGTTGGACTGGATTTTTTGAAATGTTTATGGCACTTGTGTTATCACAAAAAAGAGTGAGGGTATTCAGTTCTATTCCATAATCATAAAGCATTTGCTTCATCCACAACATTTGTGCACAACAACTCCCTGCAGCAATGTACTCAGCCTCAGCAGTGGAAAGCGAGATGGCATTCTGCTTTTTACTATGCCAAGAAACCAAATTATTCCCAAGGCAAAAACACCCCCCGGAGGTACTTTTCCTATCATCAGCACACCCTGCCCAGTCGGCATCAGAAAAACCAGTAATTTCGGCTGTAGTATCAGTGGAAAACCAAACCCCATACCCCAAGGCCCCATTAACATACTTGATGATGCGTTTTACCGCAAGAAGGTGCGACTCTTTAGGACTGGCTTGGTAACGAGCACAAACACCGACACTGAAAGAAATATCAGGACGACTGGCTGCCTGTGACTTATAGTGATTGTTCATGAAAGATTTAGCAAGGAAGTTTATGCAAGAAATGATGAGGAGACTACCTCGGTCACAAATTGCTTTGTCCCATGGCTAGTCGAATCAGCCATGATCTTAACTGCAACCTCTTTCCCGTCTTTTATTTTTCCATAATAAACAGGTCCAAAACTTCCTTTTCCAATTCTTTTTGAAAAATTGTTAGTAGCTTCTTCAATCTCGGGGAGTGGAATGTAGATTGCTACTCCTTCATCCATTAAATGTCCACCTCGGGCAATTGAATAGGGACTCAAAGGCTTGGTGGTCATACGTAAAGAATCACCTGATGGGAAAAAGGACAATACTAGATATGCAAACAGAAATACACTATCTCCAAAACTAACAGACAAAAATTGGCAGAGTTTTTCCCTTTGCTTGAGTCTTCTTGTCATGTGAAGTAGAGGCCTGACCCTTGTGAGTTGTTGCACCATAGCCTAACCCGCTTTTGTCGCAACCCATTTGTTGAGACCCGAGGATGTCTTCTAAAGATTTGGAACCTTTGTTCCACATGGCAATAGTGGCTCTAGCAACCCGAAGCTCTTCATCCTTTTGACAGACTATCTCTTCCAATCTAGCTTGTGACAGCTCAAGACTTTTAAGCTTTTCTTCATATGTGGAATACACCTTCAGAAGTTCATTCCTTTCAGTTTCACAGGATAGTAATTTACCACATAGGTCTTGCCTGTCACTCGAGATCTTGACGATATTCTGCTTTGCTGCTACAAGTTCTTCTTTCAGCCTGACATTCTCACTCTCACATGTCTTGAGCTTGAGGGAGAGTTTGTCGTTGAGTTTGGACAAATTCAAAGATTCCTCGTACAGCTTTTCGTAGGCTTGTTGTAGTTCATCGCCATTGATCTCATCATTATCCTCAGATGTTTCATCATCCTCTTTTTGCTCTTCATTCTCCTTGACCTCATCCAGTCTAGCAACTAAGACAGGAAGGTTGCTGGATGGTAGTGAAGGAGAATTTTCTCTTTCATGGAATTGGCTCAAAATTTCCCATGCCTCTTTAGCCTTTGTGCACTGAACAACCCGTTGCTGTTCTTCAGGAGAAATTGCCCCACAAATAGTGATCAGGGCTCTCTGATTGCTCGGATTGTCAGCCCTGTCTGTATCTTCTTCAATGGCCTGCCAGCCTTCTGGATCAAAAGCTCTCAGAAAAGGTCTCATTCTGATTTTCCAAAACAGGTAGTTACTCCCATCAAAGGTAGGAGCATGATGCAGGTTTTGACCAAGAGCTAACTCTGCAGGCTTTGGAAGAGTTTGAGAGAAAGTGGACCAAAACGCCATGAAAGCACTATCCCCATCTTCACCGGATTCAGGCTCTTCGGGTTCTTGCTCCGACCCGCTTTCATTATCCCAAGTTACGGTGTAGACTTTCTTCCGATTCTTTTTCGAAGGGCATTCAAGAGACATATGGCCAAACCCTTGACATTCATAACACTTGACCCCTGGTCCCCTTACAAACTTTTTTTTCAGTAGTTTGAGCAAATTTTGGTGGAACAGTTTTGGGTTTGTCATTACTCTTATCTTTTGAAATAGGGGCTCCGAAATTCGGCTTCTTTTTCAAAAAATTTTTAAACTGTTTTGTAAGCATAGCCGTCATCTCAGACTCTAAATCAAATTCAGTCTCCGGAGGTTTTGCAGTCTCATGGGCACTCGTGAAAGCCATATTTTCTTTTTGCTTTTTCTTAGAAATTTGGTGGGCTTCATAAGTCTGCAAATTTTTCATGTGACCTAATCTTTGATGCCACAAATCAATGTTACTAATGAAGGCAGAGTGACAAGTGAGATCATTAGTAGTAACAATCCCATAGCAGTTATCAGATGTGCGAACCCCATGTAAGATAGTATTTCCTTTTTTATCCAAAATTTCACATTTAATTTTTGAAAACAAGACTTCATGATGGGAATCACACATTTGACTAATGCTTAAAAGATTTGCTTTAAGACCATCAACTAGTAGAACATTATCTAGCTTGGGAAGACCAGTAACACTGATAGAGCCCTTACCAATGACTCTCGAAGTGCCGCCATCTCCAAACGTAACAATTCCTCCTTCATATTTTTCAAGGGAGGTGAAGTAGGATTTGTTACCGGACATATGACGAGAACACCCACTATCAAGATACCACATGTGTGAATCACGTGCTTTTAGAGCAGTGTGAGCAACAAAACAAGTCAAATCCTTTTTTCTAATCCAAAACTTTTTAGTCTTGGTGTTCAGCCTAGACATGTAAGGTTGTCTCCTAACCAAAAAAGTATTAGAATTTCTACCCTTTTGAGACACCTTACCAAACAGTTCAAAACAGTAAGGACGAATGTGGCCAAACCTACCACAGTGATGACAAATAAAAACCGGTTTTACCTCCTTTTTGTTGATTTTACCAGCTTTAGGTAGACGGAGAGAGAGATCAGTCTGGTCTACCTTCAATTTTCCCTTTGCTTGAATCTTCTTGTCATGTGAAGTAGAGGCCTGACCCTTGTGAGCTGTTGCACCATAGCCTAACCCGCTTTTGTCGCAACCCATTGTTGAGACCCGAGGATGTCTTCTAAAGATTTGGAACCTTTGTTCCACATGGCAATAGTGGCTCTAGCAACCCGAAGCTCTTCATCCTTTTGACCGACTATCTCTTCCAATCTGGCTTGTGACAGCTCAAGACTTTTAAACTTTTCTTCATATGTGGAATACACCTTCAGAAGTTCATTCCTTTCAGTTTCATAGGATAGCAATTTACCACATAAGTCTTGCCTGTCACTCGAGATCTTGACGATATTCTACTTTGCTGCTACAAGTTCTTCTTTCAGCCTGACATTCTCACTCTCACATGTCTTGAGCTTGAGGGAGAGTTTGTCGTTGAGTTTGAACAAATTCAAAGATTCCTCGTACAGCTTTTCGTAGGCTTGTTGTAGTTCATCGCCATTGATCTCATCATTATCCTCAGATGTTTCATCATCCTCTTTTTGCTCTTCATTCTCCTTGACCTCATCCAGTCTAGCAACTAAGACAGGAAGGTTACTGGATGGTAGTGAATGCGAATTTCCTCTTTCATGGAATTGGCTCAGAATTTCCCATGCCTCTTTAGCCTTTGTGCAATGAACAACCCGTTGCTGTTTTTCAGGAGAGATTGCTCCACGAATAATGATTAGGGCTCTCAGATTGCCCGGATTATCTGCACTTTCTGTATCTTCTTTAATGGCTTGCCAACCTTCTGGTTCAAAAGCTCTGAGAAACGCCCT